CTCCCTAATATCGGTATCGGCCCCAAAAAACCCGATACTTTTTTTATTTTTAATGCTCTTCAATATGGCCACTGCAGGTCTCTTTCCAGTTCACAAGATACTCATGTTTAAAAGTCTATATTTTATATGACGTCACGTTTCACGTTATTGTTAGCTGATCTCATGAGGAGACACTGATACCCTGAAACAGCATCGCAAATCTAATGGGATTCCCCTGTAGCCACCAGGCAGGATCTCGGAGCATTTCTGCTCCTGTTTATCAGAGGAAACCAACATCCCCTCAGGGTGTGTGTGTGTGGTTAATCTGAGCTCTATACGCACTATTACAGCTGAGAGGTGACGTCGATCATAATCCTCTCATTTCACTGTGGATTTGGCTCACACACAGACAGTTCATGAAAAACAGCCGTCTGTTTTTCCACTCAAAAATAAAACCACCTCCGATGAAAAAGGAGTCTCACAAAGACGCATTAACGCAGAAGTGCGCAGACACGTACTGCGACACAATTAACACGCCGCCACAGACTCGCATGCTAACATGTTTGTGGCAAACTGCAGACTTTCAGCCCTCGTGAGAAATATCAGCGGCCCGATTACTGAGAGTACAGGTGAAGAAGAGCTTCTCGGAAAGTATGGAAGTCGTGGGAGGAAAATGTAGCAGTGAATTTAGTCGAAATCGTACAACTTGAGCATCCTCTCTACGCTACAGTTCTCTAGACCATCATTAGAGAAGAGACACATTACGACACTAATGAACAGCAAAAATGTGCTGCACTCGCTACACATATGCATTCTAAATGTAAGTACATTTCTTTTATATCCACTCTTAATATAAAATAATATAATATAATTTCATTCAAACCATAAAACATACAGGCATTTCTACTAAGAATATGTAACAAATTATTATTCAAGGTTATTAAATAAAACAAAGATTATTGGAGTATGCTTTACAAGAAAATACCATTACAGCCTTTCTAATTAAAAATTTAATGTTTAATTCAATGTGTTACTTGATGTTTCTTTGTAAATGTTTCTGTATTTAAAATACCGCAGATAAAATGCTTGAAATGGTGTAATTACTTAGTTTGTCCAGCAGAGTGTTGTCCATTACAGAGTTTGTCCATTGTTTGCTACTGGTGACCTGGATGAAACGCTTTAAAGCTTAAGTCTATGGAAAACCATTGAAATTTTGAATGGCCATATCTCCGTAACGGCGCGGCGAATCCGTACCAAATTCGGGGGATCCCTTCAGCTCGAGGAACCCGTCGAACGCGAATCGAGTGTACGTCTAGAGGCCCGGGTGGTTAAATTCGTGGTCCGGTGCCGACCGATCAAGCGATTCCGGGGGGGCTACCGACGCGCGGAGGGTGGCGTTCGATAGGGCTCCTCGAGCTGAAGGAATCCCCCGAATTTGGTGGAGATCCGCCAGCGCGTTCGCGAGATAGTGACACCAGCCAACACATTCACTTCAGTAAGGAGGTCTCTTGTTCAGGCAGCAGCATTCAAGCATTGGCTCTTTCGACCGTAAGTGCCCCATGCGAAGTGGACTTCACATAAAACTCCGCCATGATTCCAGTTCCAATGGAACGTACACGTTACATTCGAAGGGCAATAAAGTGCGCGAGACGTGAATTTATTTTGTATTTATTTACAGAGGTATATTATGTCACACTTCACACTTCTCTAGTAAGTTTCGTCTGTGTGAAGACAGTATCGCAAATCCATGAATGAATGTTCCGAAGTGAAATAAACTTCAACGGAATAAAGTTGAATGGAATTGAATTAAAGTTGAATAAACGTCTGTACTATGTACTATAATAAACAGATCTCTCTTGTTTATTTATTTTATATATCGGCCGATATATCGATATCGGCCTTTTTTTACTCCCTAATATCGGTATCGGCCCCAAAAAACCCGATAGTTTTTTTATTTTTAATGCTCTTCAATATGGCCACTGCAGGTCTCTTTCCAGTTCACAAGATACTCATGTTTAACAGTCTATATTTTATATGACGTCACGTTTCACGTTATTGTTAGCTGATCTCATGAGGAGACACTGATACCCTGAAACAGCATCGCAAATCTAATGGGATTCCCCTGTAGCCACCAGGCAGGATCTCGGAGCATTTCTGCTCCTGTTTATCAGAGGAAACCAACATCCCCTCAGGGTGTGTGTGTGTGGTTAATCTGAGCTCTATACGCACTATTACAGCTGAGAGGTGACGTCGATCATAATCCTCTCATTTCACTGTGGATTTGGCTCACACACAGACAGTTCATGAAAAACAGCCGTCTGTTTTTCCACTCAAAAATAAAACCACCTCCGATGAAAAAGGAGTCTCACAAAGACGCATTAACGCAGAAGTGCGCAGACACGTACTGCGACACAATTAACACGCCGCCACAGACTCGCATGCTAACATGTTTGTGGCAAACTGCAGACTTTCAGCCCTCGTGAGAAATATCAGCGGCCCGATTACTGAGAGTACAGGTGAAGAAGAGCTTCTCGGAAAGTATGGAAGTCGTGGGAGGAAAATGTAGCAGTGAATTTAGTCGAAATCGTACAACTTGAGCATCCTCTCTACGCTACAGTTCTCTAGACCATCATTAGAGAAGAGACACATTACGACACTAATGAACAGCAAAAATGTGCTGCACTCGCTACACATATGCATTCTAAATGTAAGTACATTTCTTTTATATCCACTCTTAATATAAAATAATATAATATAATTTCATTCAAACCATAAAACATACAGGCATTTCTACTAAGAATATGTAACAAATTATTATTCAAGGTTATTAAATAAAACAAAGATTATTGGAGTATGCTTTACAAGAAAATACCATTACCATTTTTTTTTTACTTCAAAATTTCAATCTAATATGTTACTTGCCATTTCTTTGTAATTATTTGTGAAATAAAGGTGTTCTGAGTGTTGCTATAGGTGGTTAATTACTTGAGAAATAAACACTTGGGATTATATACACTTCAAGAAACGTTCACTCTCAAGTCTCTATGATTTTTTTAAATCATAAATTGGATAATTTTGCAAAGTAAAAAAGTAAGCACTGAGGTTTCATACTAGGGGTTAGTAAGTATAAGCTGTAGTAACTAGTGATACTGGCTTAGTATGCACACTAATTAAGACATTTTGTGATTAGGCCCGACTGTGATCTCAATGCTTAAAAAGCACATTTCTGTTCTTCTGTTTCATCAGAGCACCTGCTACTCCTCCAAACGACAAGAAATCCTTTAATTATGACAAAAGCCCAAAAGCTTCAGCATACTTGCAGCACAATCCATAAACCTTTAATAAGCCGCAGTCATACTGTGATGAGGAGCTTTTCTGTACAAATTGAATTTCGAGCTGATAATGAAACTATCAATGAAAACAAACGAAGCGTTTTCTGTGTCTCTTCAGCCACTGTAATGTTAAGACCATCAATCAGAAAGTTATCGACGCTTTTATTGCAGGAACGGCACATGATGAGGAAGCCAATCCAAGCATAAACATCTCAGAGATTAATAACCGTCAGATTTCTGGCTTTTGGATTATGAAGACGTCACATTTTTGTTGGGTAACTTTACATTTCATTGTCTGTGTTGGTTAGAGATAGAACAATACATATATGCAACAACAGGAATTATTTTCATGTTAAGTTTAAGTTGAAACAATAAATAGATAATTTGACTACAACAATAAAAGCATAACATCCATTATGTATTAATGGATTAATAATAATTAATATAATAATAATAATTATTATTATTAGTAGTAGTAGATTATTTAATTAATATTTTAATTAAGTGTCCAATCACATTTTATTTCGCCATTTGACACAATTATAAAAAGATTAGATTACCTCAATAAAAAAATAAATAATTTATAAACAACAACATATTAAATTGATATAAAAATATAAGTATTTAAGCTTTAAGTGCCCAAATGGTTTTATTTCTGCATTTTGACACAATAATAGATTGATCATTAGACTACCTCAATAAAAACATAACATCCATTATAAATAATTCATTATTTATTAAATATGATTAAAATAAGTATTTTAAACAGCTGCTTGATCATTTATAATATTTAATCATTTTTATTTATTGATTAATTTTTTCATATTCTCTTTCTCTCTGTAAAATAAACGATTAAACAAATGGACGAGGTAGATTGTCATCCATTGTTATATCTGTAACTGAACGAGGTAATAGGAAATATTGTTTTGCATTCCCTCACTAAAACACAAAGCACCCACACACTAGCCTGTGAATGGCTGTAGACATGAAATTTATTTCATAAACATGCACATAATTGCTCATGGATTATGTCCAAAACCCACTGACTGCTATTCTATATGGACCAATGTGCTGTTTCCCTTTGTATCAATCCACCAGGAATGCAATGGCAAAAATATACCGAAATAAAATCGATAACGCCATAAAAATCTATGGCACTGCAACCGAAAGCATCGTGTATGGATGCAAAAAAAAAAAAGAAAAAAAAAAGAGAAAGTAAAACTCGCTCGAACGCGCGTTACACTGTAACGCTGTTCAACAAAAGATCTTTATTGCGTCACAATCGCTGTTACATTGTTACACATGGATGCGTCGGATTCTTTGATCGCGCCTCATATTTCCTCATAACAGCGCTTATGATCGTTTAAGGGCCTCAAACTCCTCCAGACACCATTTTGAGCGTCTCTGTGTCTCAGCTCTATGGAATGTCCAAATGCATGACAAGGGAATGAACAAAGTCATTCACGGATCCGTCCCGATAACGCCGTTAATCGATGCGTTCGTTTTCTCTTAAATCACCATCAGACAAATTAGAAAGAGCTTCACCATCACTAACACACACACACACACACACACACACACACTGGCAGGAGAAAAGCATTGCTGCTGTTTGGTGGCAGTGAAGCTCTAATGGTGGTTGGATGGTGTTTCTGGACTTTAGAAATGAAAACTACATCAAACGTGACTTACCAGTGCGAGATGGTTTGGATGGGTCACTCTGATCCAGTCTGTGATCCGGGTTATAAGCGATCTTCTGGGTTGCTGAGGGTCAGTCTATTCTCCGCGAGTGTGAAGGTTTCCTCCTCCGGTTGATTTTCAGGCTGTATGGAAGCACATAAAGCGATGGGGGATGGGGGATGCCAGAAGAGAAGAGAGGAAGGGAGGGGGATAGAGAGCGAGAGAGGGGGGCAGTAACATAGAAACACAAGGGGAGGACCTCTGTGTCTGACGCACGACTGAACGCACCAGGCTTTCGATGCACCATCCATTCGCCATATGCACGAGCAAAAATCAGCCAATAAGGCCAAAGATGAATGCATGCGCGTGCGTGCATGAAAATAAACCACACTTCATTCTGCCACGATAACTCACATGCATACAGATCCACGCGTGTGATGGGACTGCTCATATAGTCTGTGTGAAAACAGCAAGAGTGAAAGTCTGAAAAATGCGTCCACCAGAGAACAAGCACTGTTTCTTCAGGATTGGTGCATTTTAAGCTGGAAATCCAGGGCTTGCATCACGTTTAACATTGTTCGAATAATATTATTTAAACAAACAGACAAATATTATTGTTCACGTTTGTTTTTTCGTATAATAAATAAATAATAAAATAAATACATATACACAGTGCTGGCTAGATTACTTACAAATTGTAGTCCATTACTGATTCTAGATTACAAGACAAAAAAAAAGGAAATGTACTTTGTAAAGTAAATATATGCGCATTTACACGCAGTATAATATTTTCTCATTGACGCAAAAACCTTCACAAAGAAACTGATGAGGCTTTGTATCGCGCGCCCTCTGGTGTCTGTAATGCACCTCTACAGTACGGAGAGAAAGAGACGAAAGTTTTCTTTTAAACACAAAAGACTCAAGCAACTGAAACGGGAAATATGTAAACTAGTGTCAAATTTCAACAAGTGGGGCGATGAATAAATCTCAGTATCGAACTGGATGAAGAGAAAGCAGTTCATTCCTCAGGGAAAGATCAACAATGCCATCTAGTGTTTCCAACATGTTAGATCACATTTCATCTGTATCAGCTTTCCTTTAGTGTTCTTGACTCATGCTTTGAAACTCACGAGATATATTACTTAAATGATCTTACAAAAAGGGAACATAGCGCTTAAAAGAGCACAACTGAATTTCCATCATGGTATCAACATATCACCATGTAAAATACCTTTGATAGCTTTTTATAGTTTTCATTTAATGCGTCACTTTTTTGTGCCAATTTCATAAGCAGTAGAGTGCAACTTGTAGACCAATGTCAGAGCATCAGAGCTCCAGTTCTAATGAGACAGTGAACAGAATGTCCGACAGTATCATGAATGTACACTGATGGAGATCTTAAACATACAAGACATCACTCATTACAGTAGTGACTACCCAGCAGATTGAAGCTACAAATCAATATTTTAACACTTTCCAAAATGCCATGGTAGTTTATCATGCTATTCTTGAAAGCACCATATAGTAAATAAATAGGTCATAAATCAGTTTCATGAAGACTTTTGCCGAACAATGGAATTTCTATAGTACTCCAAATATACCATGGTGGTGGAAGACATAAACTATCACTGTGACTGAATGCACTTCAGGTGGCTTGTCTTTGAAACAAGTGTACTTCAAAGTGATTCTAGTATTTTGGCATTTATTTGCTTTCTTCTCTGTTATTTTATGTAATGCATCTCTAATCTGTCAAAGTTATTAATTTCTTAAACTTTATCCATTATTTATCATCTTTAACAAATTGTCAACCCCTAAAAATAGAACTCTTATTAGCACTTTTTAGTAAGCGTATGCAAATTCCTGGTAATTGCTTAAATTCTGCCTGGTGCTCTTAATTATTTATTCTTTTTCCATGGTTATTTTAGTAAAATGAAAACCATAAAATGTTGACTTTAAAATGTTTAAAATAATAATAAACATTCATCCAAAAATTCTGTCGTGATTCACTCATCCTCAATTTGTTCCAAACCTACATGAGTTTTATTCTTCTACTGAACATAAAAGAAGATATTTTGAAGAATGTGGTGACAAAACAGTTGCTGATCCCCATTGACTTCCTCAGCATGGAAAAATATTCTATGGAAGTTAACAGGGACCAAAAAACTGTTTGGTTCCCACATTCTTCAAAATATGTTCTATTGTGTTCAGCAGAAGAAAGAGATTCATACAGGTTTGGAACAACTTGAGGAGTGAATCATGACAGAATTTTCATTGTTTGGTGACCTATGCCTTTGGGGAAAAAGAGAGAGAAAAAAACGTAAACATTTATTTTATTTCAGCTAATTGCCAAGGCAACGTGTGTCATTTTCGTGTAGTAAAACTTAAACTAGCAAATAAATAAATAAATACAATGACAGAAACACAACAAAAACAAAGTGAAAACAGTAAATATAAAAATAAAACTAGATAAAACTAAACCCATAATAGTATATCAATGATACTAAAATCTTTATCATATTAGGTCAACTTTCTAATTGTTCTCATCTGTAAACCTCAGGCTTTGACAGAAAATCCTCCCTGTTGTGAAACCGAATCACCGCTAGAGGGAAATGGAGGGCTATTCTCACCAGAATCAGAATCAGAATCAGAATGAGCTTTATTGCCAGGTATGTTTACACATACGAGGAATTTCTTTTCGTGACAGAAGCTTCCCCAGTTATTTTATGTAATGCATCTCTAATCTGTCAAAGTTATTAATTTCTTAAACTTTATCCATTATTTATCATCTTTAACAAATTGTCAACCCCTAAAAATAGAACTCTTATTAGCACTTTTTAGTAAGCGTATGCAAATTCCTGGTAATTGCTTAAATTCTGCCTGGTGCTCTTAATTATTTATTCTTTTTCCATGGTTATTTTAGTAAAATGAAAACCATAAAATTTTGACTTTAAAATTTTTAAAATAATAATAAACATTCACCCAAAAATTCTGTCGTGATTCACTCATCCTCAATTTGTTCCAAACCTACATGAGTTTTATTCTTCTACTGAACATAAAAGAAGATATTTTGAAGAATGTGGTGACAAAACAGTTGCTGATCCCCATTGACTTCCTCAGCATGGAAAAATATTCTATGGAAGTTAACAGGGACCAAAAAACTGTTTGGTTCCCACATTCTTCAAAATATGTTCTATTGTGTTCAGCAGAAGAAAGAGATTCATACAGGTTTGGAACAACTTGAGGAGTGAATCATGACAGAATTTTCATTGTTTGGTGACCTATGCCTTTGGGGAAAAAGAGAGAGAAAAAAACGTAAACATTTATTTTATTTCAGCTAATTGCCAAGGCAACGTGTGTCATTTTCGTGTAGTAAAACTTAAACTAGCAAATAAATAAATAAATAAATATAATGACAGAAACACAACAAAAACAAAGTGAAAACAGTAAATATAAAAATAAAACTAGATAAAACTAAACCCATAATAGTATATCAATGATACTAAAATCTTTATCATATTAGGTCAACTTTCTAATTGTTCTCATCTGTAAACCTCAGGCTTTGACAGAAAATCCTCCCTGTTATGAAACCGAATCACCGCTAGAGAGAAATGGAGGGCTATTCTCACCAGAATCAGAATCAGAATCAGAATGAGCTTTATTGCCAGGTATGTTTACACATACGAGGAATTTGTTTTCGTGACAGAAGCTTCCACAGTGTAACAGAATGACAGTGACAGAACAAAAAACACAGATAATAAAAAATAAAAATAAATAAAAAATAAAAAAAATAGAACAAGTAAATAAGGTTTACTTGTTCTCATTGGACCAGAACATCTGTTAGGCTCCACCCAAAGAACTGCGTGTCCTCAGCTTGGGAACAATTTCAAAAGTCTCACTTGTACCATAACTGAGCATTTAATGAGCTTTTAATGAGGTCAGTGAAACTTTAACATAATTGAATATGATCCAAATTGAGCAAATTAATCTCAAATAATGCTGTTTGAGAATCCTTTTGGTGTGCATTAGTGATGCAAAGTCCGATTCATTTCCGCAAACCGGTTCTTTTCGGACAGATCGGCTCATTGAACCGGTTCAAAAAAGCCGATTAATCGGTTCCTGACATCATCAAGCAATAACGTCTCTACACATTTCTTTTCTAACAACTCAGTGCAATGTTGTATCAATGAACAAATTCAAATACGTAATTTGAGTCAAGACATATTGAAACATTCAAAAAATAAAGTTATCTGTGTGAAAGCATATTGCTGATTATTACCATATAATTCACTTCGGTTAATGGTGTTCGTGGTCACAGTTTCATTCGCGGATCCTTTAGATACGACTGACTGACCAATATTGACTAGCCTACAACTTGGATAAGATTCCTAAAAGTTTCACACCTTTACAGCAGACATTAAAGACATTGATGCAAAATCACGGATATGTCTACATTATAAAGAATGAATAAACCAGTCTTATAAACTCCTTGATTTCGCTTAAGCAACTTTAAATATAATATGCACGCACAATAAACTATTGTAAAGTGTATTTACATCACTCCACAGAAAGGTTTTTGCAGGTTTTAATAGAATGTAAATAACAGTCATAATAAGCATATTTCCAGTACGCGCCTCAGGCTTGCACAGTATCGTCAACTCATCAGAATCTTCGGTAATCCTCGGCAAACTTCGCCATGGCTCATTCGGTTCTTGTTGAGTCCTCGGTAATCCTCGGGAAACTTCAACAGTTGGTTGAACCAATCGGTTCTTTTTGAGTTGGACGTGTTACTTCGGGTGTGCTTTCTGCGTCATCAACCCGGAACTAAAGTTCGATTCAGTTCGATTTGTGAACCGGCTCAACCGATTACTTCGTGAGAGCCGGCTCAAAAGAACGATTCGTTCAAGAACCTAACATCACTAGTGTGCATGTCTTTATAGCATATCCTACTACCAGTGTTGCCAACTTAGCAATTTTGTTGCTAAATTTTGCAACTTTTCAGACAACCCTAGCAACTTTTTCTTCCAAAAGCACCTAGCAACAAATTTAGCAATTGTAAAAATTGATTTGGCAACCTTTAGCGACTTTTGATAAGTGACTCAGACAATAAAAAGGCACACATTTTCCTTCCAAATTACACAAAAAGAGGAAACCACAGATGCCTAGCAGTACACACATCACGTGAATTGAGTTAGCTGCTATTTGCAATTGTTCAATTTAATAATAATAATTGAATAATTTGATAATTGAATAATTGTTTATTCATGATACACTTTGTTGGTAGCTTGTACCTGCGATTGTTGATCAGTTAGTATACTGTATTTAAAATCTTTCAGGACATTATCCATCATCCACATTGTAACCCTGTAACCCGAAAACACAATGTGTAATTTAAAATGTAGGTAAAAAACCATTACGGAAAATTCTTTCATATTAACATAGTAGATTGTGTCTTATTTTTACAGACTTTTCTTAGAGTGTAGCATACTAAATGAAGTTCCTTAATGTAAGTTAGGGAGGAGCGAGCCCATCTAATCTTTCAATCAACAGCCAGGGTATATACGCAGCTGCTTACCTCTCTCCAGTCTCTCCCCAAAACTCCACCTTCATCTTAGGTACCCTTCGTAATCATCCTATATCAAGTCCCTGGGGGGTATATCAGAGCTCGAGTTGAAGCTGCTTCATCGAGCCCCTCATAAGTGGACAGCAAGCCAAATAAGTTTACACACAATTTCCTTAAGATTATATGGGCAAACGAACTCGTTAACTAACTACTAATACACTGCTTAAAGCATATTAGTTGAGAATGTGTAGAATTACTAGTTTACTGGCTACTAAAAAAACTTAAATTGAAATCATTCAAAAATGTGTACGTTTTCAGTAATTCAATGTATTTAAAAATACAGTTATTTATATTTTAATATTATATCATGCATATTATTTTACAAACAAATCTAAATGAACATATATAAAATATATTTTTTGCTGAGATTTGATGATGTGACAATTTTGCGTCGTGATTACGCAATGACATCACAACGTCATTTAGCAACTTTTAGCAACAAATCGACCTTCCTTTAGCAACTTTCTCTGAAAATTAGTTGGCAACACGGCCTACTACATGTGTCTTATAGCAGATACTAAACTGAGAAGAAACCTTGTGCAGGTTCTTCGAGGAACTTCCAATGTATAGTTGCTAAATGTCCGAAAACATGCTAATAAACGTGTTACGCTGGTACGATCAGCAAAGTAAGTACATAAGGACTAATTATATGTAATTGCTTATGTTTGTCTGATTAATTCCATCTCTTCTCTCCCTGACAGAACAGAAAAACACGTTTATCTCACCCAAGTGACTCCTGTGGCAGAGGAGTTTTTTGAAGTACGAGTAACAAGGTGTGGTGAAAGCAGACATGACAAGGTGCCAAAACACCCCTCACTCATCATCCTAACACAAGCAACACTGAGCAGAGCTGTGATTAACAGGTGAATGATCGCAACACAGGTGTGGAGAGCACAGGACCCTGCGTTATATGCTAATAAGAAGTATGACATCTGACGAGTCAAAGCGCACCACTGCTGCGTGTGACAAAAGTCATTTATAAAACCACAATATCAAAAGAACTCATCGAAGAAGCCACTGAGGGGTATCACCTTCACGCCAACTTCTATGCTGAGATGTTTGACACAATCTTTAAGACAGACTGACTGCAGGTGATGACGTCCCATCAGTTTGTTTCAGGCCAGATCATATTACTTCAAAATCACTAATTTGGCTACAAATATGCAACATTTGAGTGTAGACCGCAAAAATATAGATATATATTAGTATTTTTGTTCTTTTCTATTGTAAATATCAAAAAATTCCTGAATAAACACACATTTACTTGAAAAAGACAAATACTTAAGTCACTTCTGAAAATAATATCAAAATTAAGTGAGTTTTATAACAAGAAAAATCTGTCAATGGGTAAGAAATTTTGTATTAAGTTTATGCTTACCCCAGATATTTTTGTCTTGACATATTTAAAGATGTTGGTCTTGTTTTAAGTATACATTCTCATAATGATTTTTGTTGTTGTTGTTCTAGAAAAAAATGTGTACATCTATGCATTTAGCAGATACTTTTATGCAAAGCGATTTAAAACAGTGGAACATAAGCAATTAGTCACATAGCTAGCAATATTCATAGTATCGAATGACTGTTTCACTAGAAAGCTAAATTAGGGTATAGAAATGTGAATATTTAGATATTTGTAATGGGAAAATACTGAGGAAGGAAATCATTTTTGCAGTGTAGTTCTCAAATCATCTCATATTTAAATCCATTCCACAGATTTCCCCCTGAAGAATCAGTGCATATTCTATCTGGTTGTTCTAAATGTGACTGTGGACTTTGAGAGATTTTAGAGATTCCACCTTGTGGAAACTATGAGAAATGCAACAGAGTGCTCCGGGGATGATGTATTTTTGTAAGTTCTCATTACCCTGGTTCCCTTGACAAAAATAAAGTAAGATTTTTTAAATTGACTTTATTGCAGTAAATAAGCACTGTGGCCAACAATGCACATGTTTTGTTTATCAAGATAATCTGCATTAAAGAACACAATGTTTATGAATTCCGAAGCCTAAAAACAATCACTAGACGTTAAAAGCTAAAGGTAGACTATAAACAAACACAAAGGTTGCAAAACTTCAGCATCACCACAACTAAGCTAAATCTTTCAATCTTTATTGTAAATCTACCAGTCAGAACGTTTGAGTTAGAATAGTTTGCAAGAACATTTAGAGGTTTTCTATTCGGCATGATGACGTTTAATGTCCCAGACAACTTCTGTAGTCCCATCTAGCCACTTGTTCACCTTTTTCAAGACAAGTAAAAGCTTTAAATGAGCGTGGTATTACAGATGTGTTTAATAAAATGTGAAAATATCTTGAGTTTGTGTTAACCACACACCTTATTTCAGGCATTTAACCAAAAACCCAATGACTTTGGGACATGGAACCTGAGTTTTATGAGTTATAGGACTCATACCTGCAGCATTCTCAGTGCACTTACATCTATTTATCACATCACATACTCATTCGTAAACACTACTTTTTTTGGGTAATGAAAACAAAGTAACTTGAAGTCAACAAAGTGAGTAAAACTTTACACACACAGGTCAGCTTCTGTTCTAACGAACATCACGAAGGTGTCCCGATATGTGTAGTCCATGCAGCTCATTGTTGCATCTCTACACGTCTGTCTGGTTCCGAACCCTCAGATATTCCAGACTGTTTGATCTTTTAGTGTTTGTAACTCTGCATAGAGTAAGAAAAAAAAATCACTCTTTCCCCTTTGTATTTCTTCTCTTTTTTCCACCAGGTCCCACAGAGATACTGAAGTGACTTTGAATGAAGAACCTGAGGGCTGAGCGTTGATGTTGGTAGGTCTCGCGAGACTCTACAATATCGTATGACTTCTAAAAAGTCCTACAACAAGCCCAGAGAGCCTTGATTCGGCAGCCGTCGAACACCGCCGAGTTAAAACGGGACAGAGAGCGAGACAGACAGAGAGAGAGCGACAGGCTTGAGACGTACGTTTGGCAGGAACAAGGACAACACATGACAGCCATCAAGAAGACAAAAAGATATTTCAGAGAATCTTGTCAGAAAATAGTCGAGTCGTCTGTTTGTTGTTAGAACCACGTTCGCGGTTCAAAATTGCATCGTGGAGAGGTAACTGCGGTCAATGATTGTTTTGCCAAGGACAAGCAAACATCTACCATCTGAGTGTTTCACATCATTTAAATTATCCTGATGCCTGGAGGCAAGAATTTCAAATGGCTGAAAAAGTGAACGTCGTCTTATTACTTCATTATTGATAGCGTTGAGTGTTTTAACTCGAAGAGACCTACTGTTGGCCTGCTGAAAGAACGTGAACGGCATATGTTTGGAAGCTGGTGCTCTCATCAGGCTTTTGAGAATCTTTAAGTAGAGCTGGTGGTGAATAGCATTGCTAAGCAAACCAGTAAAAACCAGCTTGATGATGCCACATTGTCAGCCATATTGGAAAGGTCGAAATCTGGTAATAAACAAATGCAAGTGAACTGGTAAAGTAAATGCAGCTTGTGATGCGTTTGACCAAATAGAAAAGATTTTTTAATTGAAAGATTTAAAAAATCATTAAAATACAGAATGATTTGCTATTTTTTTAGTTTAGTTGTAAATAAAACAAACATTATTGGATTTCATTTTAGAAGAAAATATTTCAGTCTTTCTAATATAATGCGTTATTTGCAGATTCTTTGTAATTGTGAAATTTGCTAGCAGTTTCTGAGTGAAAATTGTTTATCAACCTTCGGTTATTTTAGTATAAACGACTATTGAAATAGTTAAGTAAAACTAGAACTATTCAAAATGTTATGAAATAAAGCCAAAATAGAATATAAACATTAGATGACGAACTTAAACTTAAAAAACTTAAATGACAATGAGAAATAAAGTAATGAAGTAAATAAGAATAAAGTAAAATAATGAAAATTAAATAAAATACATTAAAATAAGAAATAAATTAAAATACAAAATGTAATGTTGAATTAAAAAAAAAAGCTAACTCAAAATATGAATAAACACAGTAATACATAACATTGAGCATAACTCATGTTCAAATTCACTGGATTTAATTATTATTATTTTTTATTTCAATTACTTTTCTAGTCCTATTTTAAAAATTACCAAACAATTGGTTAAACTGTATTACCCTATTTAGTCTCTAGTCAATGTCTTGCTGGTTTGTTGGGGCATTTGTGTATGAGTAACGGTAATAGGTTGTCTAATGTTTATTTCTGATGAGTCCAGCCTGTAATGCTGACCTTTCCGAGACGGCTGACCTTTTGAAGTATGCTTTTTCGCCAAGGTGAATTGAGAGATAATCCATTACAATATTGAGTATAAATGTATATAGAATGAGTTACATACTTGAGTGCTAGATTTCAATGTAGGGGTGAAACTTGGCTAAACCTTAGCTCCTTAAATTCAGCTTTGATCTGCACAAAAAGCAGATCAGACAAATATCGGCAGGCAGCCCTCCTGCAGTACCGCCGCTGACCCCTGTTGACCACTTTTATAAAACCTCCAGAAGTCAGTCAGAGTGTATTGTCTAATCAGGACAGATTAGTTAAAGTAGAGTGAATGATCTCTAGAGATACTTTTACTCTGACTTGTAATCACAGACGCTCTCTCATTATAAAGCCACAGTGACCTCTGGGGGCGCAGAGGTCTCATAACGGCACTGCTGCTAAAGAGGCAGCAGCGATGAGGGCTTCCAGTTTGGCTTCATTAAAGATGAAACAGAAAACACAAACACCCACTGACTGATACGAGGGGTTCCGTGTGAAGCGCCGAGCCAGACCACTCTTCTGATTGGACTTCTGAAGGTGCATCTGTCTATCCATTGACAGCCTGTTATGTTCAGCAGCGGAGCTTTTATGCACATCTCTACAAACACCTCACCACTGGCTTCTCATCAAAGGGCCACAGAGAAGAGAAGAATGGAGGAAATCAAAGAGGAAAACAATCATTTAGAGCTAAAGTTCCTGGAAAACAGTCAAAAATAGAGCTGTGATACCTGGTGTTGATCTCACTGGGAGATTTATGATTGGGGGTGTCTGACATATGCAGGGTTGTGCACCATTCAAAATCGAATTGCGATTTGAATTTGAAATGGTAGAAAATGAATTGAAATGCAAAGAAATTCATATAGTTTCATTTTTAACTAGAAAAGCAAAGATAAACTTTGAATGATGGCTGGACAAACATGTTTGACATTTGAAGGATAAGATAGATAGATAGATTATAGATAGACAGATAGATAGATAGAGCAAGTAAAAAGTCAATTTTCATTTCATGTTGACCCTTCCTTCTTTACTAACACACACATGCACACACACACATGTGTGTGTGTACATACAACGACACCTACTGAGTCCTGCCTACACACACACACACACTTGTGTACATACAACGACACCTACTGAGCCCTGCATACACACCCACACACACACACCCCCACACACACACACACACACACACACACACACACACACACACACACACTGTGTACATACAACGACACCTACTGAGCCATGCCCACACACACACACACACACACACTCACAAATGAGTGGGCCTGAGCATAGTTTGATGTGACTTTGAAGCAAAGCTCGGTGGAGTTGTCTTCCCCTGAGCTTTCCAGCTGTTTCCATTTGTATTCACAGCAGACAGCGACCGCAGTCACAGCTATATAATGCTGAGAACTTCCTGTAGATTCATTTCACTTTCCCCAACTTTCTTCTCTGTGTCGATATATCTTTCTGTCTCCAAATGTAGTTTTTTAAAACACTGACTGACTTAATTTGCTTTGAGAATGCATTTGTATTTTTTCGTTAACAATGTTTATACTTCAGTTGCAATTTCCATATTTGATTTGAGAGCAGAGGGATTTTCAGCGAATACACCTAGTAAAGTTTTTAGGGAATGAATTGGGTTGTAAGATCCACACGTCACTGACTGAACTCTGTGTGTACAGAATGAGATTAAACTCTCAGAAGAAAAAAAAGACAAATCAATTTATGCAGTTTATGTGCAGTCTTGAGAAAAGTCATTAGACTGAGAGAAAATACGGAGGTGATAGTCTCATAAGTATGCAATTTTAATTGCACATTATTTTGAGATTGACCAGCAGGAGCTTTCAGCTGATGCTCTGGTCAGGATATTAAAGAGTATTGTTCCTCTCAGAGTGGAGAACTGCCCATTTCTGCTACAATGGGGAAACTGTGAGTCTCAGCTCCCTGTTTATTATGAAGAGAACTTTCAAATGTTGTGTCCTGCTAAGTCTGCACTTCTCTGCTGGAGTGAGGATGAATGGAGCAAGTGGGGGAGAGAGCGAGAGACCAACAGAATTCAGAAAACAGCAGCTTCATGCACTCACTCACCACCTGAGAAAATGATGCTGCACCAGCAAATTTCTTCATTGCACTAGTTCCATGTATGTAGCCTTTATCATACCGAAAGTGTGAATACAACTCTCTGACACTCAGTAGTCAGCTGTTTTCTTAGTCAGCTTAGAATAGCACACTCAAATTTTGCTTACTGAACAGGGCTAAACAATCAGATATGGCCACACTGTTGCCTCCAATATTTAATATTATTAATGCTGCCCTGCTGCACTCCATTACTACTGATGACAAAAAGTTACGAAAGTTAAGGATAGACCAGCTGTCTAACCGTGCTCATCAATGCCAAAGTGAATGAGATGACCAATCAAATCATACTATTCAAATATGCTGCTCCAGCACCAGGCTTCAGTTTTAACGGTTGAAACTTAAAAGTGTGTGAGGTAAGATTTAAGTGGCTAAACATATAATATTTGACAACTGTTTGACGATAGAAATGTTAAATGGATGAAAGTAATATTCACTGATTCAAACTACTCGACTTTTATTATAAAATTTGATCATTTTGAAATGAAAATATAGAAATTAAATGTGACGAGACAGAAAACTTTACTCGTTTCTGGTAGGCCTACATTAGGAGTAAAAGTGAATGCGGGCGTATATTAAAATAAAAATATATTTGCAAATATTCCTGTTGGATTACTTTACCTCAAAAGTTATTTTACTGTTTTTCTTTCTTTCATTCATTTATATATTTTTTGTCCCCTTAAATTCACTTTAAACCCTTTTAAATAAAGAGAACAATTACTTCTATTTTTATTTTGTTAATTTTTAGACCAGTATGGTCATAGAGTCAAGACCACTTTTGGAGGTCTAATTAAATAATAGCCTAAACCAAGAAGGATAATATATATCACAATTGATATAGTTTCCAGTTTATTAATTGCATTCTGGGATACTGTACTCAAGTAATGTATTATAGTCGCATATTGCACATTTTGGCAAATGTAATAGATCATAGACATTCTAATCATACAGAAAATTTACATAGTACTGTACATAGTATGCATATTAAGAGTAGTTGCCCATGCTATTACAAAGCTAAACATTTCTAAGTACATTCTGTGGGCACCTACAATTTGTTATTTTATCTATTTTTTTATTTATTTATTGAGAAAACCAAATTATTAGGCGAAAATTGTACTACACTATTAGAACATTTAATTTCTCTTACATTCTCCCCCACACTCTTAAAATAAAGGTGCTTCACGATGCCATAGAAGAACCTTTTTTTTTGTCTAAATGGTTCCAAAAAGAACCTTTAACATCCGTTTCACAAAAAGGTTCTTTGTGGTGTAAGAAGGTTCTTCAGATTATAAAAAGGTAAGAAAGAAATGGTTCTTTGTGGAACCAAAAATGGTTCTTCTACACTCTTACAAATAAAGGTGCTTCACGATGCCAAAGAAGAACCTTTTTTGGTTCCACAAAGAGCCATTCAGTCAAAGGATCTTTAAAGAACCATCTCTTTCTTCCCTTTTTTTAATCTGAAGACCCTTCTTTCGCCACAAAGAAGCTTTTGTGAAACAGAAAGGTTCTTCAGATGTTAAAGGCTCTCTATGGAACCATATAGACAAAAAGGTTCTTCAATGGCATCGTGAAGCACCTTTATTTTTAAGAGTGTATTGCATCGCTGTGAAGAACCTTTTAAGCACCCTTATTTTTAAGAGTGCATGTGTGACCAAGAAAACAAGACGCTTAATAAGGAACCAGTTTGTATTTATAATTTGTGTTATTTGTAGTTTTCTTTACAAAGTCTCCTAAATATCCATCCACTACTATTACTTTTTCTAAGTACTCAAACAAACATTTCTCATTCAACTGTAATAATTCAGAAATCATATCACTAATTATTCTCTATGTCACAGCAGAAGCACAGGATCAGTGGGCAATTAAAATCTCACTCATTATCAGAGCCACAGCGGAGCAGACTCGCCTCTGAAGCAGAAGGTATGAAGTATGAAAAGATACTAAATAATGTTCTCTTTGACCTTCGTGACTCTTCTTTCTTTTTTCCAAAAACAGCACATCCCTTTGATATTTTAAAATTGCCAAGACAG